ACTGGTTTTCACCATGCCATTCATTGGCAGAAGAGGTCATGAATAGTAGTAAGAGATGAGGGTTCCTGTGTCAGACTGCCTGGCTTCTAACCCTGACTCTTTCCTCTCTCTAAACTATGACTCTGGAGAAGTTACCTGCTCTCTCTGTGTCTCAGTTTTCTCATCTATAAAATGAGGGCAATATTAATAGTCACTACCTCATAAATAGTAGTGAGAATGAACAATTTATATAAAAGCATTTTGACCATACTAAGAATTCAATTAATGTTTGCCATGATTTGATATTAGAAATATCCTAAAAACATCTTGCAGTAAGTCTGCAACTGCATAGTTACATGTAAACTTTTTCAGTGTGCAAAGAACGATAATGTTAAAATTAAATAGGTTACATAGCAGCACTATTGACAATAGTCAAAAGGTGGGAGCAGCAAAGTATCCATTGATCGATGAATGGATAAACAAAATGTGGTATACACATACAAAGGAAGGTTATTTAGCCTAAAAAAGGAAGGAAACTCTGACACATGCTGCTACATGGACAAACCTTGAAGACATTATGCTAAGTAAAACAAGTCAGTCACAAAAGGACAAATATTGTCTCATTCTATAATACATACAGAAAGTACCTAGAGCACCCAAATTCACAGAGACAGAAAGTAGAATGTTGGTTGCCAGAGGCTGGGAGGAGGGGAAATGGGGAATTATTGTTTAACGTAGATAGAATTTCAACTGGGGAAGATGAAAATGTTCTGGAGACAGATGGTGGTGATAATTGCACAACAATGTGAATGTACTTAATGCCACAGAACTGTACATTTAATGATTAAAATGGTAAATTTTATGTTATGTATATTTAATGTATTAAAAATTAAGTAAGTTAATAATTATAAAGTACTTAGAACAAGCTTGATACATTGTAAGTACTAAATAAGTGTTTATTAAATACACATTTAAAAAAATTTTAGAGGGATACAGGAAATGACATACAGTACATTTTTTTTATTTCTAATAATGATAGTAAAGTAGAAAAAGAACCAGGGGAAGGGCCCAGAGGTCTGTTGCAGGCTGCTCTGCCATTCTTCCACCAAGAAGCCTGGTACAAGATCTGGGCTGGCCCACAACAGTCATCTTGCTGCCTTTGTACCTAAAGACCTACCTAGCTCTTTCTCCTTGTCTGCCTGTGTTCTACCACTATTAAGATTCAGTCTCTGTTCCAAAGACTGCCACTATTTTCCTCCCTTTCTTTGAAAGGAAAGAAAGCCATGTGATCCTGGACACATTACACACCCTCTCTGGGCCTGTTTCCATATCCATAAAATGGAAACAATAGTGGTACTTCTATCACAGGAACATAGAAATATTATATAAAATAGAACGCAATCCTCATGGTTGTGGGGATTAAATGGGACAAGGCATATTAGGCATAGGTAAGCATTCAATAAATGTTCAGGTATGATTTCAATGAGTTCCTGGAAATTGGAACTCATTGGAGGCCAGTTATTGAATATAGATCAGATTAGGATATAAGTAGTATGTTTTTAACTTAATAAAATATTTTTAAAAAGAGTGACTTTCTTCAGGGAGGACTTCACAGTCAGTAATAAAGCATTGATAATTCCATGCCAAGATATCCACAGCTGTCAGGATTTAACTCGCAGTAAAGTGTCTCAAGCTATTACAGTGCCAAGAAGTCTTTTGTGGCTAATACCCCATGTTGAGCTACACTTTACAAAATGATTTTCACATTTATTGCATTCGTGTTTAAACTTCACGATCACCCCCATGAAATAGACAAAGCCTGCAGTGTCGCAGCTGGGAAAAGGGAGCCTCAAGGAAGTTAAGTGCTTTGTCCAAGTTCACATGGAGAGTTAGTGGTTGTGTCAACACTCAAACCCCAGTCTTCTAATTCCATACCCAGGGCTTTTCCAATACCTCCGATGACTTCCTATTCCTGCTTCTTCCTTAGGGGAAGGAATGCATGAAAAAAGAAAAGCTTCAAAATGGTTTATAAAATGGAGGTTTGATATGCTCTGTAGTTTCAGGGGTTCACAACACATAAATATTTAGACCAGGGATTGCAAATTCATAACTCATCTGGCCTATGGATGTGGTGGATTAAAGATGGCCCCGAATTCTTAGACCTTCATGCCTTGAGAGGTGGGGTGTGTGCTTCTCTTTGAATCTGGGCAGACTCTGCCTGCTTGGCCATTAGAATGTGGCAGAAGTAACGTTGCGCCAGTTTCTGGGCCTGGGCCTCAAGAAATCGCAAATTCCCCATTCTACCTCTTGGTTCTCTGTCCAGGAGGTCTAAACGGCCATGTAGGATACCTGACTGTCCCCATTGGAGAGACTGCATGAAGAAGCCTTGAGATTACATGGAGGGGAAGTGAGATCCAGCTGAGCTCAAACTGTAACAGTCCCCACCAAAGTGTCAGGCTTATGAGTGATGCCACTTTGGGCACACAAGACTAGACCAGCTGCCAACTGAATACCACTGAAGTGACCCTTTAATACCACATAAAGCAAAAGAGTTCCTCAGGTGACACCTGCTCAAATCCCTGATACACGAATGTGTGAGCTATAATAAATGGTGGTCGTTCTAAGCTAGTGAGTCTTGGAGTAGTTTGTTACACAACAATATATAACCAGGGGGAAATGCATTTTATTTGGCCTGTAGTTTAATTGAATGTAGTTTAATTGAATTAGTTACCTACATTTAAAAATGGGCAAATGTCATGTAACAATTGGATTTCCAGCTGCTTTTGAAGCATCAGAATCATGGCAGCATCAGGCTTATTCCCAAGCGGTAGTAATTTCTTGGAGCCCAGTCATGGCCACGTCTCCCAAGCATCAACTGTCACTGATGATTGAGTTTGCTGTTTTATCTGCTCCCTGTCAGTCATTTACTTTACCTGCCGGGCCCTAACGTGGTTTGCTTTAGGACAGTCTCATTTTGCAAATGAATAAGTAATCCATTCACACAGGTTAGTACTCGAATAGGCAAAAGAAGCATCATACCTGGATCAATGGCTTCTCCATCAAACACAGTCTCAAACACAATGGTTTCCTTTTAAAAAGCATAAAATGTTGGCAATATAGTCAGCATGATAAAATTTGTTTTCACAAGTGTAGAATACTTTGTGCAGATGACTTCTTATGTTACCTCATCTTTCTAATCTACAGAGCACTAGCAGCCTAGGACCAACACCTTCCTGATAATCTTATCTCCTCCCAATCCCATCCCCTGCTTAGTCTGCCTACCATGCCCTCTGTTAACTCAGATCTTTTTATTGATGTGAAGTCCCTTATTTTGTATGGGAAGTTATGGATGGATTGTTTACCCCCCTCCCCAATTCACATGTTGAAGTCCTAACCCTAACTTCAGAATGCAACTGTATTTGGAGATGGGGCTTTTAAAGAGGTAATTAAGGTAAAATGAGGTCATGTCGGTGGGCCTTAATCCAATATGACTGGTGTCCTCATAAGAAGAGGAGATTAGGACAGAGATAGCACAGACCAAGGGTTGACCAGGTGAGGACATAGTGAAGGGGTAGTCATTTGCAACCCAAGGAAAAAGCCCTCAGAAGAAATTCAACCTGCTGACACCTTGATCTTGGACTTCCAGCCTTCAAGGCTATGAGAAATACATTTCTGTTGTTTAAGTCACTCAGTCTATGGTATTCCATTATGGCAACTCTGGCAGACTAATACAGCAGGTGAATTGTATCAGTTTCCTAAAAGAAGAAGCAGAGGAAGGAAACATTGAAAGAAAATGATCTCATGAAACAATATGGTCAGTTAGGACTCAGGAAGAAATGTTCTTAGTATATAGGGAGGCAAGTAGAGAGAAAAGGATAGGTGAAGATTAAAAATGCCCTTTCCTGTTCCATTCTACATTTATTTTTTCTGGAACCAGCCCCACCCTTGTACAGTTGTTTATGTGAATTTTTCAGTGAATGAGCCTCAGCCAATTTCAGGATGCATACTCTTGGGTATAGATTTTAACATCTGCTAAGAAACGCCATGGCTGAAGAACTTAACCATTTGTATAATCTATTTCAAAATATAGCTATTTCTAATTAATGGTGAACAATGCTAAATTTATATTTGTCTGGGGTTGTTTTTGCTGAATGCATGTATAATATCTCAGACAAATTTTGACCTAAGCCAAATTCTAAAACTAGAACAGAAATTCCAATTTTGTAATGCATACAAATTCAGCAGAAGAAGATAAATTGAAATTATTTTATTTCCCTTTTATGATGCTTGAGTAGATTTAATATATGTTTATATGGGAGAACTTTTCATTGAGTAACAATTATAGGAAAATGTCTTCTTTCTTTTACTATAGAGGGCTCACAAAAACGTACTTACTGTAAACACTTCTAATTTTTTATTTCTGTTTCCCGTGATAGTCTTTTCCTTTGGATTTCTATCTCCTGTTCAAAAATAAATAAATAAAAGGCAGGTATCGGATGAGTGGCATTTTAAAAATCAAACAATTCAAGCATAATCATGTGACATCAGCAATATGTATCTTACCTGTAATATACTTCATTCCTCTGTATGAAAAGAAAATTTGACAAAATATGAGTTATATTATGCTAACACACGGCAAAAAAAAATTTCATCCAATAGTCAGCACATGACCATTGTCACATTTTCCCTACCCCAGGAAAAAAGAAATGCTGTATGAGGAATAATAAAATGATCCTCATTAACCATCACCACCCCCTTCTCTGCACCATAAATAAACTTTTAGTTAATAAAAATTCATGTCCAACTCTATTTTTGAAGTCATGATATTCTACACTCTGAAGAACTATTTTTGGATGGTGGTGAAAACACCTACATTGTTTTCCCATTCTTTGGCCTCTCTGCTCAAATCCAAATAGACTCAAAACCAGTAAGATGGGCATCACCAGTTCACACACGAGGCCGGCAGGAAGGGTCTGGCTGGTGCCTGGGACTGTTTTAGGGATCTTGGAAGCATTGCCAACATGTCTGACATTCAAGAAGCTACTAAACAACTCCTAGATGTGAACCTTCATGAGAACCAGAGATCTGTACAAGTGACAGAAAGTGACCTCAGAAGTGAGTCTGAACTTCTAGTCACTATCGGAGCCACCGTACCTACTGGCTTTGAGCAAACAGCAGCAGATGAAGTGAGAGAGAAATTGGGGTCATCATGCAAAATCAGCAGAGACCATAGCAAGATATATTTTGTCATTTCACTGGAAAGTCTGGCTCAGGTTCATTGTTTGAGATCAGTTGATAACCTATTTGTGCTTGTTCAGGAGTTTCAAGATTACCAGTTCAAAAAAACAAAGGAAGAAGTTCTAAAGGATTTTGAAGACTTGGCTGGAAAACTTCCATGGTCAAACCCTTTAAAAGTATGGAAAATCAACACCAGTTTTAAGAAAAAAAAAATAAAACACACAAAGATAAATCAGCATTCAAGTAAAGGGAAGATTGATAATGGAAAAGACAACAAAATAGATGAGACAGGTATTAAAAAAGAGTTCACTGACAATGCTTTAGATTCACATATCTTAGATTATTATGAAAATCCAGCCATCGAAGAGGAGATATCAACACTAGTAGGTGATGATTTGGCATCTTGTAAAAATGAGACTGATGAAAGCACAAGACAAGAAACTGAGCCTCAAATGCTGAAGTTTAGAGTCACGTGCAACAGGGCAGGAGAGAAACACTGCTTTACCTCAAATGAGGCTGCAAGAGATTTTGGAGGTGCTATTCAAGATTATTTTAAGTGGAAGGCTGACATGACCAACTTTGATGTGGAGGTTCTTTTGAACATCCATGATAATGAAATCATCGTGGACATTGCACTAACTGAAGGGAGTCTCCACCCAAGAAATATCACACATTTTGGACCTACAACTCTTAGATCAACTCTTGCCTATGGGATGCTCAGGCTCTGCGATCCTCTACCTTATGATATAATAGTCGATCCAATGTGTGGAACAGGGGCAATACCAACAGAGAGGGCTACTGAATGGTCTGACTGTTACCATATTGCTGGTGATAATAATCCACTGCCTATAGATAGAGCAGCAAATAACATCTCATCTTTATTGACCAAGAGCCAAATTAAAGAAGGCAAACCATCCTGGGGCTTGCCCATAGATGCTGTTCAGTGGGATATCTGCAATCTGCCATTAAGAACGGGCTCTGTGGACATTATTGTAACAGATTTGCCATTTGGAAAGAGGATGAGCTCCAAGAAGAGAAACTGGAACCTTTATCCAGCTTGCCTACAGGAGATGGGCCATGTCTGTACACCTGCAACAGGCCGAGCTGTACTGCTTACTCAGGACATGAAATGCTTTACGAAGGCATTATCTGGAATGTGACATGTATGGCGGAAGGGGGATACAGTTTGGGTGAACATTGGGGGTCTTCGTGCTGCAGTTTATGTTCTGGGACGTACGCCCCAACCTTTTGTTCATCCTTCAGAACAAGATGGAGAAAGAGGAACTCCTTGGTAATGCAAAGAATAAAGATGACAAATAATAGCATTCATACTTCCCAACACTGGAAACATCAGCACGAAGAACTTGCTTTTTGAGAAAAATAGTATTAACAAAAGTGCAGTCTGTACCCTTAAAACCAGTCCAAAGCTCTTCATGCTAGTTAGCAAAAGGTGTGATGGAATTGAAAAAGTCTTATGAGAAAGCAAAGCTTTTCCTTGAAGCTGTTTCAAAGGGGTAGTGGGCAATTAGTATTTTGCTTAAAACACTTTAAAGATGCATAGTGAAAAGCCTACTGAAATGCTCTGGCATTTGGGTTTAGAACATTTTATCTTCAGGCTTCATAGCCTGTTTTCCATTGCGGCAAGTGCAAAGCTACCCTGGCCTAAAGAACAGACAGAAAACATAATTACATCTTAGGCCACATTTCATTGCCTATCAGCTTTGCTATTCACATGCTCAAGTTCTTTACCTCAACCTCAAAAAATGAAGTGTTATCACATTTCGTGAACAGGATTTGCCCCATGACAAGAAGAAGTTTCACAAGACCTATAGGAAAGTTTACCATCTGCCTTAAGAATTAAAATATGCATCTGTTATTCAGATTAATATATACAATTAAAATAGAGTACCAGGATTTATCAAAGAGATTGCAGAGATGCTTTACTGTTAGTTTTATAAAACATTTGTTTATAAATAGCATATACACTAGTAGATAAGGTATGGGACCAACAAGTCAAATTAAAAATTTGTTTTCCTTTCAGTACACACACCCACAAAAAAAAACCAGTAAGATGTGTGAAAAGGATAACTACATTTATTACCAATTCCTAGGCTAGTTCCTGGCAGTTGTCAAACACCTGTATACAAAACTGCTTGCATCAAAATAATATGGGGAGATGTTTTCTTATTAGCTCACCAATTCATTTTTTTAAAACATATTTTCACCGAAAATCTATTTCTGATGTTCTAAGGTAAAGCCCAATAATATGCTGTTGCTGTTTTTTAAAGGAAGCTCCCAACTATTTCTGAGCTAGAGTAGGTTTGGTATCACTGGTGAAAGGGAACATCGAGTTCTGTATCTCAAGTATTTTTCTCTGTGTCCCTCAAAAGCAAACAGGCAGAAGACCTCAGAGTAAGATCACCAAACTCCAATTGATTTTAACTCTTTATATCAGAAACTCAGAAAAAAAAAATCACATACTTAGGTATGGGCTTGGAGACTTCCTTGGCCATCTTCTGACAACATCCCATGAAGTTTCCGTATTTCCAAAGCAGGAAACATACCCAGGAGACCAACCCCACAAAGAAAACAGCCATCAGAGTGAAGATGAAAGGAATGTACCAGTCACTGGATTTGTACGTGTTGATAGCTGTGTACATGATGGTCAGACCTTTTCTTTGCTGGGAAACATTATACGTGAACAGAGCATTAGTTTATGTTTTCAGAGAGCATCCGTTTATATATAATAGCATCAGTACAGAGCTGTGGTCCTTTACAGACAGTAGGGTATCAACTCAGACATACGTGTTTTTTTAACACCACAGGTGATACTAAGGATACTTAGTGATACTTCTCTATACTCTACTAGTATAGAGAAGGCACCAAAGTAAGAATGTGAAGACTTGATTTGTATGTAATGACTGCTCCGTGATCTTAAACAAACCATTTCTCCTCTTTGCCCTCAGTTTTCTCATCTGTAAAATCAAGGATTTTGACTAGATGGTATCTGAGGTCCTTTTAGGCTTGTATGTCCCTATTATACATTCTACACACAATTAAACCTTTTGTGCAGCTTAAGAGAACAGAGTTCTTGAAAACCAAATATTCTGGTGGGTAGATTTACCATCCATTTTTTAATGCTTCTATTTGAAAGGATAGAAGACAACAAAATACACTAACCATAAAGTCTACTGAACAGACTTTATCCAT